TTCTGAGGTTTCTCCCCATTTAGAAAATATTCTGTTTTGCTATTTTGGGATCCATGACCTCACACTTCCCCATGTTGAACTCTATCTGCCACAGTTTTGCCCACTCACTTAATCTATCTAAGTCCCTTTGCATCTTCCTGCACCCATCTAATAATAATAAAAACCCTTGCATTTGATGTAGCGCCTTATCACATTTTCAAGATGTCTCAAAGTGCTTCACAGAATATACTGTAAAGTGAATTGACTGCATATTTTATGGGCCAAACACTGAGCCTCCTAACTTTGTGTCAGCTGCAAATTTTGCTATAAAACTCTCTATTCCTTCATCAAAGTCATTTATATATGTATATGGTGAGGCCACAGTACAGACCCCTGGAGAACATCACTAGTCACATCCCGCCAATCAGACCACGTTCCTTTTATCCTTACTCTCTGTTTCCTGCCTCCTAACCAAATACCAAGCCACATGGCAAGTTTACCTCCCATTCCATGTGCTTTTATTTTTGCTAATAATCTTATTCAGAACCTTATCAAATTCCTTCTGTAGACGACATCCACAGACACTCTCTAACCATCATGTTATTGACCTCCTTAAAATATTCAATCAGATTCGTCAGACATGACCTACCCTCACAAATTCACGCTGACTCTTTGATTAGCTCATACTTGTCCAAGTGCTCAGTCGCTCTGTCCTTGATGAGAGATTCCAGTAACGTCCCCACAGCTGAAGTGAAGCTGACAGGTCTGCTGTTACCTGGTTTCTCCCTCCCTCACTTCTTAAATAATGGAGTGACATTTGCAATTCTCCAATTCAAGGGCACAATTCGTGAATGTAGAGCTTTGGAAAATTATGACTAACACATCTGCAATTTCCTCCCCTACTTTTGTTAATCCCCTGGAGTGGTATCCACCAGTTCCTGGAGATTTGTCTATCTTTAATCCCATTATTTTCTCCATTACCATCCTTATTATCCATTATAGTCTCACCTACATCTATCAGCCCGTGGTGAGGCTTCAATGATGGGGCGGGTCATCGGGGGACAGTCAGGTTTCTGTGAGTCCTAGGATGTCTATTTGCTCATCCAGGATGAGGTCATGGATTTGTTGAGAGGGAGCAAACGTTTTGGAGGCCAATGTGGGTAGAGGTGCTGATGGAAGAGGGTGGAGGGGCTGCAGATTATAGGGGGAAAACGAAGAGGTGAGAAGGGTGCGGATGTGAATGAGGGAAGATGGTTTGCCTTCTGGAGGTGGGGGAGGCTCTTCTGGAGGTGAGAGATCGGGGGCACCAGCCAAAATACGCGCGTCGAGATGTGGAGCGAGCAATCAGCAGGGCATGAAGAGAGCTAGAGGAGACAGTGCTGGGGGGAGAGAGGGGGTAGTACTCATAGTCTTATTTATTAGGTGAGACCAGCCAAATAAATAAGAATTTGAGAGAGGAGAGAGAATGGGAGAGAAAGGAGGGAGCTTTCAAAGAGAAGATGTGAAGCGCTTTTTGACATCCTCCCGACATGAAAGGCATCTATACTGCACCTCCTTTCTCCTCTGCACCGAATTTCCACTCTCACCAAAATCCCCACTCTGTCCCCATCTCACTCCATTGCCAGCTCGCTCTCTTGGGCTCTCTGTCCCTAATTGTTAGCGTCATGAATTACATTGCCTTCCGTGCTTTTTTTTCAGTAATGCTTTTTTTTCTCCAAACTGTGTGCAATATTGAAAGATGATCTAACACAGCTAGAATTACAGCCTTGAAATTGTCAGAATTTGGGGATTTGATTGGACTGACAGAGGCTTCTCGCAGACTGATTAATCACACTCAAATTCTTGTCCTTCTCAACCTCTGCTACTGGCCACCCCTTCAGTTTAGTTTACAGTACTTACATACATTTTCATTGAGAGAGCTCCATTTTCCCAAGATGAGCTTTTACAAACAACAACAACAACAACAAGATTCCATTTATAAAGCGCCTTTCACGTCACGAGGACGTCCCAAGGCGCTGCACAGTTGGGTCATGACCCGAGCAGGGGGGAAATGGTCAGGGTGAGGGGAGGGAAGGGAGGGAGCGAGGAGGGGGGAAATGGTCAGGGTGAGGGGAGGGAAGGGAGGGAGCGAGGAGGGGAAGAGAGTCGAGAGGGGAGCTGAAGGCACGGTCAAAGAGAAAGGTTTTGAGACCGGCCTTGAAGGAGGAAAGGGAGGAAGCGGCGAAGGCACTGGGGGATGGAGTTCCAGAGCCTGGGGCTGAGAGGCTGAAGGCCCGACCACCGATGGTAGGGCGGTTGGGGCGGGGGACGTGGAGCAGACCGGAGCCAGAGGAACGGAGGGTACGGGCAGGTAGGTAGGGGGATAGTAGGTTGGAGAGGTAGGAGGGAGCAAGGCCGTGAATGGCCTTGTAGGTGAGGATGAGGATCTTGAAATCAATCCTCTGGGGGATGGGGAGCCAGTGGAGGCGAGCGAGGGTGGGAGTGATGTGGTCCCGAAGCCTGGTGCGGGACAGTAAATGAGCTGCAGAGTTCTGAATGACCTGCAGCTTGTGGAGGGAGAAGGCCGGCAAGGAGAGAGTTCCCATAGTCCAGCCTTGAGGTGACAAAGGCGTGGACCAGGGTTTCAGCCGCGTGAGGGGTGAGGTAATGCCGTAGTCTGGCGATGTTCCGGAGGTGATGGAAGGCGGTGCCAGTTGTGGTGCGGATGTGAGGGAGAAAGGACAGCTCAGGGTCGAACAAAACGCCGAGGTTCCTGACTGGCTTTGAGAGGTGGAGAGTGCGGAGCTGATGGTGTCAGCGCCTGAGGTGCGGAGGCGCTGACGTGAGCCAATCAGGAGGGCCTCGGTTTTTCGCACGTTGAGCTGAAGAAAGTTGTCTCTCGTCCAGGACTCGATGTCGGACAGGCAGCTGTCAGGACATCGGTGGTCGTGGAGTTGAGAGTAGAGGAGGAAAGGTAGAGTTGGGTGTCATCCGCATACATGTGGAAGTTAACTCCATGTCTGCGGATGATGTCACCAAGGGGGAGCATATAGAGGGTGAAGAGGAGGGGACCGAGGACAGAGCCCTGAGGGACACCACATGAGACAGTACGGGGGGTGGAGGAGAAGCCATTCGTCGAGACAAAGTGAAGACGGTGAGAAAGGTACGACCTAAACCATTCAAGGACAGTGCCTTGAAGGTTGAGGTGGGAGGACAAGCGGTGGAGTAGGATAGCGTGGTCGACCGTATCGAATGCTGCCGATAGGTCGAGGAGGACGAGGAGACAGAGGGAGCCCTGGTCACAGATGGTCAGGATATCATTGGTGACCTTGACCAGGGCAGTTTCTGTGCTATGGGCAGCACGGAAACCTGACTGAAGGGGTTCGAAAAGAGAATGGGTGGAAAGGAAAGAGCGCAGTTGGGAGGCGACAACTCTTTCCAAGACCTTGGAGAGAAAGGGGAGGTTGGAGATGGGCCGGTAGCTTGATAGCTGCGACGCATCAAGGGAGGGTTTTTTCAGGGTGGGCGTGATGATGGCAGTTTTTAATGGAATGGGGACAGAGCCAGAGGAGAGGGACAGGTTGATGATGTCAGTGATATGTGGGGCAAGAAAGTGGAGCTGGGAGATAAGGAGTGGAGTGGGGATGGGGTCAAGGGAGCAGGTGGTTGGTTTTAGGGATAGGATGAGTTCAGTGACAGAGGGTGGGGAAACGGGTACGAAGGTGTGTAGGGGAGGATGGGTAGGAGTCGGAGTGTGGGAGGGAAGGGGTGGGTGGTGGGTGGAAGTTGGAGGGGAAGTGACCGCGGAGCGGATTCCCTTGATCTTGGATTCAAGGAAATCCAGCATCTCCTCGCAGTGAAGGTTGGAGGAGATGACCTGCGCGGGGTGGCGGGGGGGACGGAGGAGTCGGGTTGTGGTGGAAAACAGTAGCCTGGGGTTGTTCTTCGCCTCCAGGATTATCCTGGAGTAGAAGGACGACTTGGCCGAGGCTAGAGTGGAGCGGTAAATTTTGAGGAGGTCCAGCCAGATTTGTCGGTGGACCGTTAGGCCAGATTTGACACAGGTGCGTTCAGGAGCCCGCACCTGGCTTTTCAGTGAGCGGAGGTGGGTGGTGTACCAGGGGGAGGAGCGGGAGTAGGAGACAGTGCGGGAAGTGATGGGGGCAAGAGTATCGAGTGTGGAGGAGAGGGTATTGTGGAGGAGGGAGAGAGGAGAAGAGGGGTCGGTGAGGGTTGAAGGCCAGAGGGAGAGGAGTTCAGAGGACTCCAAGGCATCGGTTAGGGATTGTGGGGGTAACTTCTTCCAAGGGCGGTAGAAGATGGTGGTGGGTCTGGTGGAGGTGGGGAGGGGGGTGGAGGTGGTGAAGGAGATGAAGTGGTGGTCAGAGATGGCCTTGTCGGTAATAGTGACATCCGAGACACTGAGGCCCCGGGTGATCACCAAATCGAGTGGGTGGCCGTGACTGTGAGTGGGGGAGTTTATGTGTAAGGAGAGGTTGAGTGAGGAGAGCAGGGAAGAGAAGTCTGTGGAGATGGAGCAGGAGGGGGTGAAGTGTAGGTTAAAGTCGCCCAGGATGATGAGGCGATCGGAGCAGAGGCAAAGAGATGTGAGGAGTGTTGAAATGTCAGAGATGAAGGTGGGAGAGGTTTTAGGGGGCCGGTAGAGGAGGAGGATTTTAAGGGAGAGGAATGAGGGGTGGGAGAGGGTGAGGTGCTCAAAGGAGGGGAAAGAGCCAGTGGAGTAGGGGGATAGGGCAAGTGGTGTCCTTGAGATAAGGGCAACACCACCGCCACGGCGGTTGGGGCGGGGGATGTGGTGGGAGGTGTAGCCGGGTGGCGTGGCCTCCGTGAGGGGGAAGGTGTCGCCTGGGGTGAGCCAGGTTTCTGTTAAGGCCATGATATCAACGTTCTCATCAAGGATGAGATCGTTGATGACCAGGGCCTTGTTGCAGAGGGAGCGGACATTTTGCAGTCCGATGTGGAGGGAGCGGTTGACAGAAGGGTGTGTGGGAGGGGAGGGGGTCCAGGTTGTGAGGCAGGGGTGGGGGGAATGGGGATGAGGGAGGAGAGGTTGACTCCCCGTCAACTGTCAGTACTGAATATGCACTGTTTTTCTAAATCATTTTACCTTTGAAGATATTATAATATTTATTTTTTGAAAATGAAGTCACGAGTGGCAGCCAACAGCAGAGGGTGACAACTATCCAGTGAGTTTGACAATCTAAAAGTTTATAAAGTCTAAGCTTGGCATCACAAACACAAGCTCCTTTTTTCATTTCACGGTGATAGATGGTCTTTTTCCTTCTATATTTCAGGTAGTTCAGCAAATGGCATTGGTGGATCAGATAATAGTGAGTATAAGTTGTGCTTTCGTATTCTGAACAGGGAGAAATTATTTATAGGCTCAATTAATGATTTGCTTATTAATTTCTGAAAAATATTCAATTAAAACTTTTGATTTGAATATTTTAATATTATAGGGTTTATTAAGTATTTGTACTGTGGCTTTTTGGCCATGAGTCCTGGTGACCCAACCAAACCCAGTTTTGTCAAACAAAATATTTATGAAACCGAAGCTTGCCATCGCCAGGACATGAATGACCTAGATGATGCTATGAACAGTCAATCTGGTTCTGAGGTATTTTAATAAATAAAATTTCATTGAATGAATTATAAGAATAAGTCTTTCTGAATGAGTATTTTCTCTTTTGCCCTTTAGAAAACGACTCCTTCTGAATTGGACAAATATGTCAGATGGGAAGTTCTACATGAAACGCTGGTGGAGGCGCAATCTGTAAATTCAATAATGTTTCAAATTTTAATAATTATTTTCTGCAATTGATGCACGTTTTTGTAAGAACTAACTCTCCATTTACACCTGTTAACAGGATGCTCTTGCTTTACTGTCTGGTACCAGTGGAGGACAACCTTTACCTCAAAGTCTGCAAGAGCCGGCTTTCCCAGACCAATACCAAGATAGTGCCAATCTGGCTATCCCACCTCTAGGGGGCACAGGCCCTGCCCTGGGGAGCACAGTCTTCGCCCCCGGGGACACAAGCCCCACCACTGGGGGCACAAGCCCCACCACTGGGGGCACAGGCCTCACCCCTGAGGGCACAGGGTATGCCCTTGGGGTCGCAGGTCCACCTCCTGGCCAGGAGGCCTCACCTTCAGGCCACAAGATCTCATCACCCTTTGCTGAGTCCCCGTCTTCGCCTGAGCGATTGCCGTCCACATCTCCCTCAGAATCTATTCCTCAAGTATCTTCAGCATTGGAGAGTTCCTTACAAACCAGGGTTAGTGCTCCTGAAGTGACGAGTGCTTCTCCTGAAAACATTGCCAGTTTCAGTGAACGTGCAGCACAGCAGTTTCCAGAAGCAGTGACAGCTCTGCGACGAATTGGAATTACATCTGATGAGCATCAAATGCTGACACAGCGCGTTGCTGACATTGAGAAGAACTTGGGAAATGTAGGTGAGTTGTACAGTAAGCTTTAGGTCTACCAGCTCAACTTCACACCCATTGCCCTGAAAATAAGAGCCAGGAGAAGCCAGTTTTCCAAAGGTTCCATTCCTATTTTTAAAAATATTTTGCCGTGTGTCTGACATACAGAACCCCATCACCGTGATCAGCCGTGTGTCTGACATACAGAACCCCATCACCGTGATTAGCCGTGTGTCTGACATACAGAACCCCATCACCGTGATCAGCCGTGTGTCTGACATACAGAACCCCATCACCGTGATTAGCCGTGTGTCTGACATACAGAACCCCATCACCGTGATTAGCCGTGTGTCTGACATACAGAACCCCATCAACAACAACAACAACAAGATTCCATTTATAAAGCGCCTTTCACGTCAGGAGGACGTCCCAAGGCGCTGCACAGTTGGGTCATGACCCGAGCAGGGGGGAAATGGTCAGGGTGAGGGGGGGAAGGGAGGGAGCGAGGAGGGGGGAAATGGTCAGGGTGAGGGGAGGGAAGGGAGGGAGCGAGGAGGGGGAAGAGAGTCGAGAGGGGAGCTGAAGGCTCGGTCAAAGAGAAAGGTTTTGAGACCGGCCTTGAAGGAGGAAAGGGAGGAAGCAAGGCGAAGGCACTGGGGATGGAGTTCCAGAGCCTCGGGGCTGAGAGGCTGAAGGCCCGACCACCGATGGTAGGGCGGTTGGGGCGGGGGACGTGGAGCAGACCGGAGCCAGAGGAACGGAGGGTACGGACAGGTAGGTAGGGGGATAGTAGGTTGGAGAGGTAGGAGGGAGCAAGGCCGTGAATGGCCTTGTAGGTGAGGATGAGGATCTTGAAATCAATCCTCTGGGGGATGGGGAGCCAGTGGAGGTGAGCGAGGGTGGGAGTGATGTGGTCCCGAAGCCTGGTGCGGGACAGTACACGAGCTGCAGAGTTCTGAATGACACATCACCGTGATTAGCCGTGTGTCTGACATACAGAACCCCATCACCGTGATCAGCCGTGTGTCTGACATACAGAACCCCATCACCGTGATCAGCCGTGTGTCTGAAACCTATCACCGTGTTTAAGAGTTACCAAACCAGACTGAGAGTTCCACCTATGCATGCAACCTGAACATTTCCCTGTGTCCGTAATGTAGTGCACATTGTCTCTCTGCTTATCTAATCCCAGAGTATCAGGCAAACTTCTTGTATCCACACAAATTAACACCACCACGTGTGCCCGAGTAAAAGTGACATGGGTACAACCTACAGCAGCTATCCTGAACACACCCTATCCCTCTGCGCGTGTACATGAGAAATATAGCAGCTTTTAAAAGGCACCTCATCAGAATTCAGGAGTCCCTAATGTTGGGCAAGTCATTAGTCTAAACCATAAATTACAATCACAAAATCATCTTCTCAGTATTGTTCTGTTTTAATCTTCATTCATTGTTTTTGTGTCAAAATTATTTCTTTTTGATCTAAATCCCTCACATAACAACAACAACAAAATTACGCGGCTAATGGCAGATGTGATGAACCTAAAGGCAATGCTTAAGGAATATAGACAGCAGAAGGAGAGAGAACTGAAAGAGAAACATCAGAAATACAGGATAGAAATGGGGAAAAAACAAGGAAGAGCAAGAGATCAAAAAGGAGGACAAGAAAGAGAAAGTGAGAGGGCAGGAAGACGAGCGAGAGGAAAAGCAGGAGCACAAGAAGGAAGAGAGGGAGAAGAAAGTGAAGACGAAGATGAAGAAGGGGAAACAGACAGAATGAGGGTAAGCACAACAACAACTTGCATTTATATAGTGTCCCGGAGCCCTGGAGTAGAGAGGGTGCATGAGGCTGGTACCACTGTGGGGGAGCTTGGGTAACACAGAAAGTGAAGGAGGAAATATTTTCTGATGTTTAACAATTTTTAACAACCTTGTCAGTTTTCAGCCAGCGTTTTGTTTGAAAGGCAGTAATGCAAGAAGTTTGGGACGTTCAGTCCCTTTCACCACGCACAGGGTCACATTAAGAAAAACACCTCAGAATTCCCTGTCACTTTAATGTCCTTATTAAACTATTCAGCACAAATGAGATTCATTGCACAATTGCACGTCACTCCTGTTGGCCAGGTTACACTTGCTGTGTATGATGGCATTGCAGCCCCTTCCAACATGATGTTAGGTTCTCAACATTCAATGTAAAGAAAACTCTTTTATCCTCAGCTCACAAGTTAAAAAGCAAACAATCCAACCAAAAAAAATCTCTAGTCAGCCACTCTCTGCTTCCTGCCTGCTTTTCTACCTCCTGGTTCCCTTTCATTGGTCTTAGTTAATTGGTCCTTATTTTCTTAAAGGGAATCCAACACAGGTTTAAGTAGCTTCAGGGATTGGGTCAGCAGCGGATTGGACAGAGAGAGGAGGCCAGAGAGGTCGGGGGGTGCAGAGGAGTGTAGGGACTTGAATACAAGGTGAGGATCTTGAAGTCGATCCTCTCTGGGACAGGAGCCGGTGCAGTCTGGCCAGGACTGGGGGGATCGGGGAGCGGAGTTTCGTGTGGGTGAGAATGCGGGCAGCAAAGTTATGAATGATCCGGATGTTATGGATGGCAGTGGATGGGAGACCGGCGAGGAGGGAGTTAGAGAGCCGAGAGGGCTACCAAACAATGTCTCAGCAAAGATGGTACGAAAAGGCTGATCAGTGGACACTGCCCCTGCCACACTCATTGCCAGGGTTGTCCCCTCTATATTCCCTTCCTATCTCTCAGTAGTTTGTATCTGGTTTATATAAAGATAAAGAGAAAAAATGCAAATATTAAAAATGTTACTTGAATGTCACTCCTCTTCATCTTTCTGAGAAGCTCTGAGTAATCCATATGAACATTTTGCAATAGATTGTTTATGTCAATGACTGTTGTCCTCTGCATCTCTTTCTAGCCCTTATTTTCTATTGTGTTTCTGTTTGAACACCTTCCCAAATGTATGACTAATAAGTTCTGCTGGCACATGCAAAGTGGGATGTTTCCATCGTTTCCACATTCGCCGGGTTAGAGGCAAAGTCAGAGTAACAGGACACGTGAAGGTAGCTTAGAAACTTTACGTTCACTCTATTCCTGCTGCAAGGGAAAATCTGCAGGGTTGACTGTTCCAGGCAAGATCCTTCTTTTATTTCCACTGTACTATCCTGAGTGACCAGTTTCAAAGATAAGTAATGAAATTTTCTTATACACTGTCAAAAACGCTCAATGAAAAGTGCCAACTGCCTGTGTAACTATTAAACTGTTTGTAAACAAAAATTCCTTCCCTAGTGATACACGTATGTTCCTAGGGCAATGTCATCACTGGTGAACACAACCCAGCAATAGGCTGCTCTACTTAGTACCAGCATGATGTATGTCCTGTCTCAAGTCACACCAACCTCTCACTCCCCCATTCCCTCACGCAAACCATCACACTCCTCCAACCTCACCCTCACCAACCCCGTTTGACCTTAAAGAAGCCATCCAAAAACATAGTGTCAGTGATTCTGAAGCCAAGGCCGGTTCTCTCCCAGGTCTGGTCCCAGCTCCCATTTTTCTGAAATGGAAGAGTGTTTGCTTGTAGAAGGTTGCAGAGGGTAAACACTGGGCTAGCACCCCTTTCCCACCAATCCTCTTCACCTTTAGCTGCAGAGGGTTGGTGGGAGTGGGGTGCTAGCCCAGTGTGTATCATTAACCCTGGGTAAAGGCTGAATCATGCCAAAGCCAAGATCTGAGCCTCAGTGTCAGCCCGAGACCAGCAGGACCATAAGGTCCTCAGTGAGATGATCGTACACAGTGGCTGAGGATATGCTGACCTTGTCCTTGTCTGTAGGATGACATCCTGGATGGAAAGTCTACTGATGATGTGAAGACACAGATAGCACACCTCAGGTAAGAGCAGGACCTAAAACTCCACTTGCTACTTAGAGCCTTGGAATTCACCCATAAATCACACAGTCACTTCACTTTACAGTATATTCTGTGAAGCACTTTGAGATGTCTCAACGGCGTGATTAGACCCTATATCAAATGTAAGGATTATTATTTAGTATCATTACCTTCTCCTGTGCTGTAGTTCTATGGTTCTGAAGCAGTGACTCAGTTGTAAGATACTCACCAGCCCCAGTCACCCACTGGGCACTCTTTTGTTTGAATGCCATTTACACCTTATCTACCAAATGCGGCTTCACCCATGATCTCCCCAAGGTTGTGACTTGGACAATGAACGGGTCTAGCCCCATTGTGTAACTGTCTCTGAAGACAAAGGAATCCCCCTGCCCATTCCCCCAATTGGGGATACCTCAGTCTTTCCACCTCAATGGAGGTGCAGCGGCTTCCTCCCGGGGGTTGGGTTGTGTTCTGTCCCATGTGAGTTGGGGTGTAATCGGGGAACCCTCGTCAGGTAGTATAAGAGCATCCCCAAACTGTAAATGTGTGCGTGTGGTGTACATGGGACCAGCCGTGGCCAGCAAGAGCTCACTAACTGTATACGTGAGGCCCGCGCACAGGTGTGTTCACACTGTCACTAAAGAGCGTGCTGTGAACGTGTGCACATTGCACAAGTTGTATATCTGCTGTGTCCCCATAAAGGGGGAAGCGCCAGAGGGGGCGGACAAGACCCTGTAACTGTGGCCTCTAAAGTTCAGCGGGGAGACTACCTACACCTCCCACCCCACAAGGGGCCGGGTCATGTACATATTGCAATGGGATATTGTTTGTTGTGATGTTTTCTGTCACAGGAATGTTTTGAAGCAAATGTAAATATCTACTTTATATATTTTCTTTTTAAAAAATGAAAAATTCTTTAAGATAAAAGGTGACAGAGATTCCTTTCCCTGATCAGGGTCACGGTTAAACATATCGCAGATGAATTAAATGGATTGAGGAAAATGCAGGAACAAGAGACGGCATCCGGGGCTGTCTTACAACAGCAGGTCTGTCACTGCCACAGCACAGCTCACAACACGAGCCCTACAGCCTCCACCATGTTATCAGAACCATAAACAAGGCCACAATCCCTGCACCACCTCTCCCAGCCCACTCCCTCCCAGCCCACTCCCTCCCAGCCCACACCCTCCCAGCCCACTCCCTCCCAGCCCACACCCTCCCAGCCCACACCCTCCCAGCCCACTCCCTCCCAGCCCACACCCTCCCAGCCCACTCCCTCCCAGCCCACTCCCTCCCAGCCCACACCCTCCCAGCCCACACCCTCCCAGCCCACTCCCTCCCAGCCCACTCCCTCACAGCCAACACCCTTATCCGTTACCAACATAGCGAGAAGCAGAGATTTGGGATGTTCCCCCTCCCCACTTTGTTGCCTTTCTGGTTTAACCATAACAACCAAAAATCACATTTACATCAGGAGGAAGTCCCAAGGCGCCAGATAGTCAGGGTTTGGGACGCAAGCTGGTGTTTGGGATCAGGGAGGGTGGAGGGCAGGGAGGGTGGGGCTAGGAAAGTGACCAAAGACACCGTCGAAGAGGAGAGCCATGAGATGAGCCTTGAAGGAGGCAAGGGAGGGGGCGAGGTGGAGGGACTGTGGAATGGAGTTTCAGAGAGTGTGGGCAGAGTGCTGAAGCCCCGACCGCACATGGTGGGACGGGCTGGGTGGGAGATGGAACAGGCCAGAGCCCACTGAGCGGTGGAAGTGACAGCCACCACGTGGTTATCAGAACCAAAAAGAATGAAATGATCCCCTGCAACACCTCCCACAGCCAGCACCCTCATCCAACAGAGTCTGGTCCAGGCAGCTACTGCCCCACACATTGGGCTGAGGTTTATCCCACTCGGCTGCCGAGCAGCTGGAGTGTATGACAGGAATATGTATATGTGGCATTATCTCTGCATGTCTGTGTCTGTGCAGCGCTGAAATCTAATTGGACATTGAATGCCATGGGACTACTTTCCTCAACAACTTGTGTGTGAATGTGATCAGTTGTCACAGGAACATCATTTCATTCAAGTGTTTCAGTGTTGTTAAAAGCTGTTATTCAGAAATTTCTTGGTCTCAACGAACCCATTCACTATTCTCTTGCCTCTATTTCATGTCTTCTCTTGTCCTCCTGCAGATGGACAAGCTGGGCCCTGTGCTGGAGAAGATCATGGGCTCATCATGTGCACTTCTGGGCATGAGCCTGGGCTTTGAAACTGATGGCACGTGTCCTGTCTGCAGTCTGGATGTCAGTAAAGATGCCAGTAACTTGTGTCAACGCTTCCAGGCACTGCAGGAGACAGTGAACTCAATAATGGACAATCAAGGAGATGGTGTACAGGTCCAATACTGATTGCTTTCAGGAGGGTGTATGTCAGACAATAGTGGTGGGGGGGGGGGGGGTGGCCCAGGAATTTCTGGAGATATTTTGCATGGATGGTAAAATGGGGAGAGAAATACATGGCTGAAAAAAGGGATTCAAGGATATTTTTTGAATTTACAGACTGGAGTGGATTGGTGAGATGTGTGCCCCAGGGTTGGGTATTGTTTTCTGTTTTTATTTATAATCTGGGTGTAGGAGCAAAGGGAATCATCCATATTTGCAGAGGAAGAATGCCGGAGGCATAATGACAGATTAGCGGAGTGGGGAAAATATAAATCAAAAAAATTGAAGTACGACCTTAGTGTGAAAATTCTCAATGGAGTGGAGGACGAGGGAACAAATATACAGATTGTTCAGAGTATAAAATGCAGAGAGAGAAAGGGGCAAATAGGATCATGAATTTTATACACAGTGATTAAGTTCCATAGGAAAAAAGTGTTGATGAATTTTTGTATTACATAATCTTTACACTATTAGGTTGAAATATTTTGTGTCATTTTGCATGCCATGTTATATAAAATATTGGGGAGGTGCAACATAGATTCATAAGGATGATACCAAAGGTAAGAGGAAATAACTATGAGGAGAAACTTGGAGCAGTGAAAGTTGAAGGATGATATGATACAGGAGGAATTGAGAGGATAAATGGTGACAAATTATTTTCGATGGTAACTTGTTGACGGACAAGAGGCCCATGAATTTAAGATTATTACTAGGAGCACGGGCGGAAGTTTGGGAGACGATTTTCAGAATGTGGAATTATTTTCTGGAGGTGGCTTTTAGAATTGTTTTCGTCAGCCAGCTGTCTGGTAGATGTATAAAAACAACAAAGTTACATGTGTAAAGCGGAGTTCACGTGGGGAGGACATCCCAATCAGTGCTTCTGACCTGAGTTGGCGGTCGGGATCATGAAAGGTGGAGGGCAGGGGAAGCAGGGTAACCAAAGGCACGGTCAAAGAGGAGGTTCTTGAGACGGGTCTTGAAGGAGGCAAGGGAAGGGGTGAGGCGGAGGGACTGCGGAATGGAATTCTAGAAGGTGGGAGCATAGTGGCTGAAGGCCCACACGCCAATGGTGGGGCGAGCGAGGTGGGGGACGTAAGTAGGCCGGAGTCTGCTGAGTGGAGGGAGCGAGCAGGATGGTAGAGGTTAGGAGGTGGTAGAGGTTGGGGGAAGCAAGGCCACAAAGGTCTTTGAAGGTGAGGACCAGAATCTTGAACTGTATCCTCTGTGTGATGGGAAGCCAGTGGAGTCGGGCGAGAATGGGGATGAAAGGGTCGCAGAGCCTGGTGTGGAAGAGGACACGAGTTGCAGAGTTCTGGATGATCTGGAGCCTATAGAGGGAGGAGTTGGGGAGGCCGACAAGCAGTGAGTTTGCTTAGTTGAGCCTGGATGTTATGAACATGTAAGAACATAAAAAATTCCGGACAAAAAAGACCAAGGTCAATAAGAGCATAAGAACATAAGAATTAGGAGCAGGAGTAGGCCATTCGGCCCTCGAGCTGCCCCGCCATTCAATAAGATCATGGCTGATCTTCTGACCTAACTCTAATTACCTTCCCTTATCCCCATATCCCCTAATCCCTCTATTTTTTAAAAATCTATCAGTCTCAGCCTTGAAGATGTTCAAGGACTGAGCATCTACAGCCTTCTGGGGGAGTGAATTCCATAAATTCACTACCCTCTGAGTGAAGAAATGTTTCCTCTACTCTGTTCTAAAAGGCTGACTCTTAATTTTAAGACTGTGACCCCCGGTTATAGGTTCTCCTACTGTCCCTCAGTGTCTACTTTATCAGCCCTTTAAGAATCTTATATGTTTCAATAAGATCTCCCCTAATTCTTCTGTACTCTAGAGAGTACAGCCCTAGTTTATTCAGCCTATCCTCATGGGTCAGTCCCCTCACCCCAGGATCTAACCCAGTGAATCTACGCTGCACCCCCTCGAGGGCAAGTATGTCCTTTTATAAATAAGGAGACCAGAACTGCACACAATACTCTCGGTGCGGTCTCACCAAGGCCCTATACAGTTGCAGCAAGACTTCCCTACTCTTGTACTCTAAACCTTTTGCAATGAACGCTAACGTGCCGTTCGCCTTCTTAGTTGCTGCTGCACCTGCAAACTAACTTTTTGAGACTGGTGTACAAGGAAACCCAAATCCCTCTGCACACTAACACTATCTAATCTCGCCCCTCAGAAAATAATCTGTTTTTCTATTTTGGCTACCTTGGTAAATAACTTCACACTTCCCCACATTAAATTCCATCTGCCACCTCCTCGCCCACTCCCCAAACCTATCTATATCCCGTTGCAATCTTTTTGCATCATCCTCAGAGCTTACTCTCCCACCGAGTTTAGTGTCATCCGTCAATTTAGATATGTTACATTCAATGTCCTCGTCGAGATCATTGATGTAAATTGTAAATAGCTGAGGCCCAGCACTGATCCTTGTGGCACTCTACTAGTCACATCCTGCCAATTCGAGAATGACCCGTTTATCCCTACTCTCTGTTTTCTACCCGTTAGCCACTCTTCAATCAGTGCTAATATGCTCCCATTTATCCCGTGGGCCTTAATAATAATAATAATCCTTGCATTTGATATAGCGCTTTTCACGTCGGGAGGACGTCCCAAAGCGCTTCACAGAATATACTGTAAAGTGAATTGACTGTATATTTGTGGGCGAACGCGGCAGCCAATTGCGCACAGCAATGTCCCACAAACAGTCGTGGATTGAAAATGACCAATTTATTATTGTTTTTTGTTTTGGAGGATTACTATTAGGGCTCTGTGTGGAGTAAGGAAACTTGCCCAAGGTTTCGCCCTCTGCCTGGAATTGAACTCAGGTCTCTCACTTGCAATGTGAGTGCTCTAACCACTGAGCTACAGGATTCCATAACCTTGTGTAATAGCCTTTTGTGTGGCACTTTGTCAAATGCCTTTTTAAAATCTAAATATACTACATCTACTGGTTCCCCCCTATCTAACCTGCAGATACATCTTCAAAACACTCTAAAAGATTAGTGAAGCATGACTTCCCTTTTGTAAAGCCATGTTGACTCTGCATAATCTTGTTATGGTCTTCCAGGAATCCCACAACGACATCTTTAATTAAGGAATTAAGAATTTTCCCTCCCACTGAAGTCAGACTAACTGGTCTATAGTTCCCCATCTTTTCTCTCCCACTCTTCTTAAATAGTGGTGTTACGTTTGCAATCTTCCAATCAATGGGAACCGTTCCAGAACCCAGAGAATTTTGGAAGATCAAAGACAAGCCGTCCACTGTCTCAGTAACTACCTCTTTTAAAATCCTGGGATGTAGGCCATCAGGTCCAGGGGATTTATCAGTTTTAAGACCTGACAATTTACCTAAAAACATTTCTTTACTAATATTAATTTCCCCAAGTTGCTCGCTAACATTGTCTTCTTGATTCCCCTCTATTCTTGGTAGGTTTTCAGTATCTTCTAAGGTGAAGACAGTAGCAAAGTACTTGTTTAATGACTCTGCCGTGTCTTTGTCCCCAACTATAATTCCCCCCGTCTCTGCCTGTAGCAGACCCACATTTACCTTTGACAGCCTCTTCCTCTTTATATATTTGTAAAAACTCTTACAGTCTGTCTTTATGTTCTTCGCTAGTTTGCCCTCATATTCCATTTTCTCCCTCTTAATCACTTTTTTGGTTCTCCTTGTTGATCCCTAAAGTTCTCCCAATCCTCGGGTTTACTATCATCTTAGCTGTTTTGTAGGCTTCTTCCTTTAACTTTATACTGTCCCTAACTGCTCCAGTGAGCCACAGTTGGGCCACCTTTCCGGTGGCATTCTTATTCCTCAAAAGAATATGTGCTCGCTGGGAATTTTGCAGTATCTCCTTAAACGTCTGCCATTGCTGGTCTACTGTCAAATCCTTAAGTCTAATTTCCCGTTTTATTTTAGCTAAATCCTCTCTCATACCAGCAAAGTTGGCTCTACTTAAGTTGGCTCATCTAGTTCGCCTTCCACCTTCCTGGCAGTCACAGGCACATATGTCCAAACTCCCTCTGTCTATATAGAATCATAGAATTGTACAGCACAAAAAGAGGCCGTTCGGCCCATCAAGTCTGTGCAGCTCTTTGAAAAGAGCAATGTAATGTCAATCCCACCCCCCGGCCCTTTCCCCATAACCTGCAAACCTGTCCTCCTCAAATACCCGTCCACCGCTTTTTTAAAAGTTATCAAATCGGCCTCGACCGCCCTCTCAGGCAATGTTCCAGATTCAAACAACTCGCTGCGTGAAAACATTTCTTCTCACCTCTCCCCTCGGCTTCTTTTAGAGACTATTTTGAATCTGTGACCTCGAGTCCCCGACACACCCACCAGTGGGAACAGTTTTTCCCTTTCTAACCTATCATGATTTTGAAGACCTCTATTAGGTCCTCATAACCTTCTCTGCTCCAATGAGAATAATCCTAACCTCTCTACCCTTTCCTCATCATCACGGTCCCTCATTCCTGGTCCCATCCTCATAAATCTCCTCTGCGCCCTTTCCAATGCCTTAACATCCTTCCTGTAGTGCGATGCCCAGAACTGGGCGCAGTATTCTAACTGAGGCCTAACCAGTGTTTTATATGGGTTAATCATCACCTCCTGACTCTTGTACTCTATGACAACACTAAGTTAGGGAGGGGGCAAACGGTGAGAAGGACAGGAGCCGACTGCAGGAAGACATAGACAGATGGTAAAATGGCCGACACATGGCAGATGAGTTTCAATGTGGAGAAATGCGAGGTAATGCATTTTGGTAGAAAGAATGAGGGGAGACAATATAGGCGGTAATACAATCTTAAGGGGGGTAAAAGAACAGAGAGACCTGGGGGTGCAGGTAAATAAATCCTCGAAGGTGACAGGACAGGTAGATAAAGCTGTAAAAAGGGCAAATGGGATTCTAGGATTTATAAATAGGGACATAGAGTACAAGAATCAGCAGGTGATGATTAACCCATATAAACACTGGTTAGGCCTCAGTTGCAATACTGCGGCACCGCACTATAGGAAGGATGTTAAGGCATTGGAAAGGGCCAGAGGAGATTTATAAGGATGGGACCAGGAATGAGGGACCGTGATGATGAGGAAAGGGTAGAGAGGTTAGGATTATTCTCATTGGAGCAGAGAAGGTTACGAGGACCTAATAGAGGTCTTCAAAATCATGAGGGGATTTGATGGGATAGAAAGGGAAAAACTGTTCCCACAGGTGGGTGTCGGTGACTCGAGGTCACAGATTCAAAATAGTCTCTAAGAAAAGCCGAGGGGAGGGGAGAAGAAATGTTTTCACGCAGCGAGTTGTTCGAATCTGGAAAGCATTGCCAGAAAGGGCGGTCGAGGCCGATTCGATAACAACTTTTAAAAATGTGGTGGACGGGTATTTGAGGAGGACGGGTTTGCAGGTTATGGGGAAAGGGCCGGGGAGTGGGATCGTCCGCAAGTTTGTGTCGTCCGCAAACTTGGAAATGGTACTTGCTATACCCAAGTCCAGATCATTTATGTATATTAAAAAGAGCAGTGGTCCTAATACCGATCCCTGGGGGACACCATTGTACCTCCAGTCAGAAAAGCAGCCGTTCACCACAACTCTCTGCTTTCTGTATCCCATGATGTTATTTCCTATTTCTAATCTCTGTTTGAAAGAATCAACATTTCCTGCTTCAACCGTCTCCCTCGGGAGCCACAGGTTCACTATTCACTCCTTGAAATAGTGTTTGCGAAAATTTGTTCGGAATTTACCCCCTTCAATTGCAGGCCATAGCCTCTGGTTTTTACTATTCAGGACAAGTTGAAACAGGCTGTCATGATATTGTTTGGTCCCTTTAGAATCTTAAAGACAGCAATCATGTCGCCTCTCAATCTTCTCTTTTTCAGCGTGAACATGCCAAATTTGCTCCTCATAGTCCAGTCCCTCCATTCCCTCAATTATTTTAGTTGCCCTCCTCTATCTTCTCAATTTCTCCAATATCCTTTTTGTACTGCGGCGACCAGAACTGTGCACAATCTCTAAGTAGTAGATTTATACATGATTTATGCAATGATATAATGATTTATACAGTGGCAGGATTACCCCACTATTTTGGCTGAGCTTCAGTTTATTGTTAATCAGGACCCCTAGGTCCTTTTCATTTTCCATTTGCATTATTTTCCTTCCGTTCAAATAATAGTCCCTTCCAGGATTTTTTGTCCCAAGTGAAGTTCTTTACATTTCTCCATATTGAACTTCATCTGCCACCGATCTGCCCAATTCCCAAGAATGCTCAAATCCTCCTGTAACCTATCTTGTTCAGCTTCACAATCTACCACCTTCATTAGCAGGGTGTCATCTAGAAACTTAGCCACTGTACTTGCGACTCCTAGTTCCAGATCATTTATAAAAATATTGAACAAAAGAGGTCCGTAAATACATGTATGAGGGTGTCGGTGGCCTGCGGTGTGAGACAGTGGTGGAGCTGGGCAACGTTGTGGAGGTGGGGGAAGGCAGAGCGGATCATGGCACAGATGTGGGGTAGAGGGTTAAGCAAGACCCCAAGGGTCCGGACTGGCTTAGCAAGGGGGAGTGAGCCCCATGATGGTGATGCTGTCAGCGCCTGAGGTGAGGAGGCGCTGACGGGAGCCAATCAGGAGCCTCGGTCTTGAAGAACGTTCGCTCTCATCCAGGGCTTGTTGTCTGACGGACATTCTGTCAGGACCACAGTGGGTCCTGGAGTCAAGGGTGGAGGCAGAGAAAGTTGGGTGTCATCTGCATACATGTGGAAACTGACCCTGTGGATGATGTCACCAGGATGTCACCCAGACGAAATAGACAGCTATGAGTTCCAAGGAGAGACTGTGGAAATTTTGGAACAGAGTTGATGGACATTTAAAGAGAAATTAAATAACCATATGCAGAGGAAAGAGTATTGGGAAAGTGTGATTTAGGGGCGATGGAAGAGCGAATTGGATCTGGTAGGGGAGATGGCTTCTTTGGACAGGCAAACATTGACATTGAAGCAATGGTTCTAATAGCTTCGCACTGAGTCACAGTGTTTATGGTTCTATGTGTAACCAATGGGGCGGGGGGTGTGAATTGTGACACTCTGGCAGTAAGACCGCTCTGGTCTGTTGCAGGACCTGGGACTGCGGAGTCGGGTTCAGAATTCTATTCTGGAGCTGTACGGAGAGTGTGAGAAGCTGAACCAGATGGCAGGACAACTGTTGGAGGATGACCAGCAGCAGCAGAAGAAAATTGAGGTGAGGAGAGAGGAATGAAAGTGTGTGCAAAAGGGAGGAAGGTAATCCGGGCGAAGCTGTGCTATTATATATAATATATATATATATACCCGGGCCCGGATACAGTGATGGCAACAGTTAGTGACTGAGTGCCATGGCTCGCTGCCCAGACACGGCTCAAAGTGGAGGTGGCAGAATGGAGTCCATGTGAAAACTGGTGACGACCTGGTAGATCTGATCCACATCTCCCAGACCTAAAGGGCCATTGATCCCGGAGTCCAGTTCCCACCACCTGCTGTCCCCACCCACCCACTCAAAAGGCCTCCATGGCCCCAGCCACCCCAGGGTAACATTACAGAGATTAACACCAACTACAACTTCCCAAAGCTGGCGGTTCTTCAGTTAGGATTTAACAACAACAACTTGCATTTGCAAGTCCCTCAAGCAGGGTATGACACAAAACTAGGAGGAAGTGTCAACACAGAGGACGACATAGATAGGTTAGGTGATTGGGCAGGTAGGTGGCAGATGAAGTATAATGTAGGGAAGTGCGAAGTCATCCACCTCGGGAGCACAAATGGTAGAGCGGGTTATTTTTTAGAAGGGGAGAGATTGGAATGTGTTGGTGTCCAGAGGGACTCGGGTGTCCTTGTACAACAATCACAGAAAGTTAGTCTGCAGGTGCAGCAGCAATTAGGAAGGCGAATGGTATGTTAGCGTTCATTATGAAAGGATTAGAGTATAAGAGTAGGGAAGTCTCGCTGCAACTGAATAGGGCCCTGTGAGACCACACCTGGAATACTGTGTGCAGTTTTGGTCTCCTTATTTAAGGAAGGATGTACTTGCCTTGGAGGGGGTGCAGCGTAGATTTACTGAGTTAGTACCAGGGATGGAGGGGATGAGTTACGAGGATAGGCTGACCAATTTGGGCCTATATTCTCTAGAATATAGAAGAATTAGAGGGGATCTTATAGAAACCTATAAGATCATCAAAGGGCATGATAGAGTAGATAGTGGGAGATTGTTTCCCCGGTTGGAGAAACTAAAACCAGGGGTCACAACCTTAAAATCAGAGGCAGCCCTTTCGCACTGAGTTGAGGAAGAACTTCTTCACTCAAAGGGCAGTGAATGTATGGAACTCACTACCCCAAAGGGCTGTTGATGCTCAGTCCTTGAACATATTCAAGACAGAGACAGATAGATTTCTTATTGCAAAAGGGATTAAGGGATATGGGGATAAGGCAGGGTCAGGTTATGAGCCGGAGTTAGATTAGAAGATCAGCCATGATTGAATGGCGGGGCAGGCTCGAAGGGCCTACTCCTGCTCCTACATGTTATGTTATGTTATGGGCAGGTAGGTGGCAGTAGTGTCCCAGAGCACCTGACGACGACAACAACAACAACACGATTCCATTTATAGAGCGCCTTTCACATCGGGAGGACATCCCAAGGCGCTGGACAGTTGAGTCAGGACCCGAGCAGGGGGGAAATGGTCAGGGTGAGGGGAGGGAAGGGAGGGAGCGAGGAGGGGGGAAATGGTCAGGGTGAGGGGAGGGAAGGGAAGGAGCGAGGAAGGGGTAGAGAGTCGAGAGGGGAGCTGAAGGCTGAAGGTCAAAGAGAAAGGTCTTGAGACCGGCCTTGAAGGAGGAAAGGGAGGAAGCGGCGAAGGCACTGGGGGATAGAGTTCCAGAGCCTCAGGGCTGAGAGGCTGAAGGCCCGGCCACCGATGGTAGGGCGGTTGGGGCGGGGGATGTGGAGCAGACCGGAGCCAGAGGAACGGAGGGTACGGGCAGGTAGGTAGGGGGATAGTAGGTCGGAGAGGTAGGAGGGAGCGAGGCCATGAATGGCCTTGTAGGTGAGGATGAGGATCTTGAAATCGATCCTCTGGGGGATGGGGAGCCAGTGGAGGCGAGGGAGGGTGAGGGTGGGAGTGAGGGTGGGAGTGATGTGGGCGCGGTGTCTGGTGCGGGACAGTACACGAGCTGCAGAGTTCTGAATGACCTGCAGTGTGGAGGGAGGGCCGGGAAGGCCGGCGAGGAGAGAGTTCCCATAGTCCAGCCTTGAGGTGATAAAGGTGTGGACCAGAGTTTCAGCCGCGTGAGGGGTGAGGTAGTGCCGTAGTCTGGCGATGTTCCAGAGGTGATGGAAGGCGGTGCCAGTTGTGGCGCAGATTCATATCTGCCTGGAGAATATCTGGAGAAAGGACAGCTCAGGGTCGAACAGAACCCCGAGGTTCCTGATGGCTTTGAGAGGTGGAGAGTGCGGCCTTGGATGCTGATGGTGTCAGCGCCTGAGGTGCGGAGGCGCTGACGTGAGCCAATCAGGAGGGCCTCAGTTTTGCGCACGTTGAGCTGAAGAAAGTTGTCTCTCGTCCAGGACTCGATGTCGGACAGACAGCTGTCAGGACATCGGGGGTCGTGGAGTTGAGGGTAGAGGAGGAAAGGTAGAGTTGGGTGTCATCCGCATACATGTGGAAGTTAACCCCATGTCTGCGGATGATGTCACCATAGGGGGAGCATATAGAGGGTGAAGAGGAGGGGACCGAGGACAGAGCCTTGAGGGACACCGCACGAGACAGTGCGGGGGGTGGAGGAGAAGCCGTTTGTGGAAACAAAATGAAGACGGTCGGAGAGGTACGACCTAAACCACTCAAGGACAGGGCCTTGAAGGTTGAGGTGGGAGGACAAGCGGTGGAGGAGGATAGTGTGGTCGACGCTGTCGAATGCTGCGGATAGGACGAGGAGGCAGAGGGAGCCCTGGTCACAGATGGTCAGGATGTCATTGGTGACCTTGACCAGGGCAGTTTCTGTGCTATGGGCAGCACGGAAACCCGACTGAAGGGGTTCGAATAGTGAATGGGTGGAGAGGAAAGAGCGCAGCTGGGAGGCGACAACTCGTTCCAGGACCTTGGACAGGAAGGGGAGGTTGGAGATGGGCCGGTAGCTTGATAGCGGCGACGCATCAAGGGAGGGTTTTTTTCAAAGTGGGAGTGATAATGGCAGTTTTTAGGGGAATGGGAACAGAGCCACAGGAGAGGGACAGGTTGATGATGTCTGTGATATGTGGGGCAAGGAGGTGGAGCTGAGAGATAAGGAGTGGAGTGGGGATGGGGTCAAGGGAGCAGGTGGTGGTTTTCAGGGATAGGATGAGTTTGGTGACAGAGGGTGGGGAAACGGGTACGAAGGTGTGTAGGGGAGGATGGGTAGGAGTCGGAGTGTGGGAGGGAAGGGGTGGGTGGTGGGTGGAAGTTGGAGGGGTAGTGACCGCGGAGCGGATTCCCTTGATTTTGGATTGAAGGAAATCCAGCATCTCCTCACAGTGAAGGTTGGAGGAGATGACCTGCGCGGGGTGGCGGGGGGGACAGAGGAGTCTGGATGTGGTAGAAAACAGTAGCCTGGGGTTGTTCTTCGCCTCCAGGATTATCCTGGAGTAGAAGGACGACTTGGCCGAGGCTAGGAGCGGTAGTGGCGGAGCATGACTCCAAGCCGGAGGGGAGATGACTGTAGGCACAGATCGAATAGGAAGGTTTTCAGGTGGGATCTGAAGATTGGGAAGTAAGGAGCAAGGCGGAGGGATAGATAGAGGAAGAGAGAGTGACAGAGATTTTAATTAAAAGGCAGGAAATAATGGCCAGTGGCTGTTTGTGGGAAATGGAGCAAAGTTGGGTTGACGTAGGAAATTCTGGTTAGTGAGTTAGTGAGAACTCTTCTACTCCCAGGGTTATAATCTCCATCTCGTTACAGCTAAACCCTCTCAGTCCATCCTTCACCACAACAGATGACTTCCCGGCAGGGCGAAACCTTGGGCAAGTTTCCTTACTCCGCACAGAGCCTAATAATAATCCCTCCGAAACCAAAAACAATAATAAATTGGTCATTTTCAACCTACGATTGTTTGTGGGACATTGCTGTGCGCAATTGGCCGCCGCGTTCGCCCACAAATATACAGTCAATTCACTTTACAGTGTGTTCTGTGAAGCGCTTTGGGATGTCCTCCCGATGTGAAAAGCGCTATATCAAATGCAAGGATTATTATTATTATTGTTGTGGAGAATCACAGAAGCAAAGTCTTTGCTGTAACAAATGATGTGTTTTACATAAGCTTTAATGGCAGCAGCTGCAGCGGCACACAACTGAGCTTCAACTACAGTCCATCCCTGTCATATCCTGTCTGATCCCAGTTACGTTTCAACCTCAACAACAGTGTCCTCGTGGCCAGTTGCCCAGTAGCAGTGTGCTCCCGGTGCCAGCAAGTGTGTGCCCAGTGTCTGCGCAGTGCCAGCCAGTGAGATGCTGCGAGGGTGAGAGTGAGCCAGGGGCTGGGGTGGGGACCTGTTTCTCACACCTGTTTCTGATGTTATAGCATTTGTTCGAGACAGTGGGCCGCCTGGAGGAGAGGAAAGTGGATAGAGATGAAGGGGTGAGATTCCATTTTAGCCCCACCTCCAGAGAAGATTGGGAATATATCTGCGTGTGTGTACATGTGTGTGTGTGTATGTGTGTGTTTGCATGTGTGAATATGTATGTTTGTGTGTACATTGTATGTGTGTGTACATGTGTGTGTGTACGTGTGTGTTTGCGTATACATTATGTGTGTGTGTGTGTACACGTGTGTGGAGATGTGCCGAAGAATGTCAGTGTGAATGAGGGAATGATTGTGGGAAGGAGTGGATGTTTGTGTGGGGGGGGGCCTTGGAGGAGGAGGGACTGCGGTGGAGGAGCTGTGGGGGGGGTCTGTGGGAGGGGCAGCCGTGACTGTCTCTCTTGCCTCTAAGAGCACCGAGACCCGTGTGAGCCGGGCACAGTTTGATGCAGTGACAGATCAGATGAACAGGATGATCCAGGGACTGCTGCACAAGATCTGCTCCCAGGAGAAGGACTGGGGAAAGATTCTAGAAAAACTCTCCTCCGAGATGGAGCGCAAGGTCAGGCCGCTATTGTGCTTCACTGCGCAGCTATTGCGCTGTTGCTGCGCAGCTGCCTGGCTCATTGCATCATATTTGTGGCCACAGCTGGACCGCATTGAGCTGGATCCCCTGAAGAAACAACTGGAAAACCGCTGGAAATCCATCCACCGACAACTACAGCGGCGCGGAACGGACAGCGAGGCCGCCGCAGGCCTCAAGAGGTAAGTTATTGGCCAATGTTCAGCTCGTGCCAGCGGCACATGGCAACAACTGGTCACCGTCTTGTGTTGTTTCCTCTCCCACAGGCAGCTCATCAACCACTTCCACTGTTTGTCCTGTGACCGTCCGCTCGATCTAAAGTCTCAATGTGCCACGTAAGTAATAATAGTAATAATAATAATCCTTGCATTTGATACAAAGCCTTATCACATCTTCAAGACATCTCAAAGCGCTTTACGGGATATACTGTAAAGTGTAGTGACTGTATTTTGGTCGGCGAAACGCGGCAGTCAATTGCGCACAGCAGCGTCCTGCAGTCATGGATTGAAGTGATCAATTTATTTATTATTAGTTTTGGACGGATTATTACCCCAGAAAAGCGATCCAGCAATGGATTAACAACCAGGTTCCTATTTACTGCTGGGTAAACAGGCGTGGAAGTGTAGTAAGGAAACTTGCCGACAGTGCGGCCCGGCTGGCAATCAAACCCAGGTCCTCCTGCTTACAAGTGCTCTAACTACTGAGCTACAGACCTCCACCAGTCACTAAGTAACACACTTGGTTATGCACTAATCATTGGGAGATTCTGACTACAGAGTGAGTGACACTTCTGGCAGTGCTGCTATATGTCTGATGGTGTTGCAGTTGGATGCACAGCTCTGGGGGGGGGGGCATGTATATAAATGTTATTGATTTGGTTTCCTCAGGAGCCCCACCTCAATGCCAATCCCTGTGACCCCAGGGCAGTGTTACCGCTCACAGAGGCTGAGCGGCCCGTTTGAGATGCAATACGGCAGACACCGGCAACGCAGGTCAGTGCCCACATCATTACCTTCCCCGGTGGGACTCAGACCACAATCACCTCCCAAGCTGCCTCTGCACAGCCTTTGCCATGCCACTGCCCCCCAGCCTGAGCCTCTGCCCCCCAGCCTGAGCCTCTGCCCCCCCCCCAGCCGGAGCCTCTGCCCCCCAGCCTGAGCCTCTGCCCCCCCAGCCTGAGCCATTCACCAGCTTGGGACAAACCTGGTTCATGTTTAGTTTGCCTCAAGGTCAGAAATCACTGGTCTCCTCCAGGTGGTGACATGGATCCAGAACCAGTTGCTGTGTTTTGTGACCAAGTTACATTGCCTTCAACACAGGTCACCGAGGACAGTTGCAGCCTTAACCACTGGCTCCAGAGTGCAACCGTCTTTCCCCACAGGCAGTGGACACTCAGTTCCTCTTTATTCTTGTCACATATCTGGTTAGGCCACCCCTGTTTGTGTGAATAGTGTAAGTGTGACTGCGTTGTTGCAGCTGCATGGCTGGTTGCTCTGGTCCATGTGACAGTGAGTTGGTGTGGGTCAGTATTTGCTCAGTGAGATCAGAAACACAAATGTGGAACCTGAACATTTGACCCGAAACAGAATTATTTGTGTGTTGAGTCAGGTGTCTGACAATTGTGAAAACCCATGACCGTGCTTTTGAGTATCCAAACCAGACTGACAATTCCACATATATATGTCGCCTACAAATATAAATTAACCTGTGTCTGGAATGGAATGCGCATTCTCTCCCCGAAGGGACTCCTCCTGCTTACTTATTTAGATGCAGGTTGGCAAGAGCCAAGGCTTGGGGACCCCAGAGTGTGTGTTAGGGTAACTGCTAAAGTTTAACCTGTTAAAAACACATGATTTGCCATTGAGAGCATTGACAGCTTGGCTCAGCTCCATATCAGAGCTTTGGCTGCCAGGGTTAACATCAGCGAGGGTGAAGAATCCCTGCCCCAAGTCTGTCCGACCCATGTCCTGTCGATGAGCCAGTTCCCTCGAGGCACTTACAGAGGATAAACAGATCTTGGAATCTGAGGATATTAAGTGGTATAGAGAAAATAATAGTCTGCATTAGTGGTGAGAAATAAAAGCTGCCACGACTCAATAATCTGGCAGAGCAAATTCCAGGGACTTCATCGTTTAGCATATATTTAATGCAATGTTTTCATGTTAGCAATTGGACAGGAGACATCCAGATACGAACAGATCAACAATCAATAATGGATCGAAATATCGGCTGCATGCAGCGCCTTCACGCCAATCTGTGCAGGCAGATAGAGAGGGTGCAGAGTCACTTTAAGGGCTCGGTGAAGGCAGTCAGTCCATTTATAAGACCGTTATTGCATTTAGGCTGTCCATTAAATGCCGCTCCACCTCGCAAAATGTATGAGAGCATCATCAAATCGTGAGTATTAGGAGAAAGGCAGAAACACAGTCCAACATGGATTAGCAGCGAGAACGCGGCTACACAGGGAGAGCAATAACAGATGAGGAGAAAAGGAATAGATGGTTCAACGTATTCAGGATAGACTGTAACTGACAGTGATCTGTCTGAAACTAACCGGGAACAGCGATAATCAATTTAGTGACAGCAAACTAAACATAATAAATGCTGGTGATCAGGGGATCGGCAGGGAAACCGTCACCACAATAAGCTTTCAAGACTCGAGGGAGAAAATATGAGTGTCAGAAACTGGCTTTCAGGGCAATGAGGATGGGGGGGTTACCTGAGAGGGGGTATTGTTAGTTAGCAAATTGTCAGCTCCCCCCTCCCTTCCACTCAGGCGAGTTACTCTCTCTCTCTCTCTCTCACACCCCCTGGCAGCGAGCGCATTGCTGATCTGATGGAGAATTTCCCCCCCTCGGCGCGAAGCTGTGGGGGGAGCCACACCCTGACCTATGCCCATGGGCGGCGCTGCACACGCCAACACCAGCACCAGCTCAGCAACTCGCAGGAGGAGGAGGTCAGCACGGGGGGGCTGTGTAGGCGATGGGGGGAGGGGGGAGGTTACTGCTGTTCCCCATGGGCTGTTACAGAGAGCCCCTCACTTCCCCCAAAGCAGTGTGTGTGGGGGATGCGAGGGGCAGCGGGGGGGGGGGGGGGGGGGGGCTGTGTGGGTGGGAGGGGCTGTGTGTGGGGGGCAGGAAGGGGCAATGGGAGAGCTGTTTGTATGTGGGGGGGGGGGGTGGAAGAGCTGTGTGTATGTGTGGGGGGGGGTGGGAGGGCAGTAGGGTGGTGGGGGATGCTGTGTAGGTGAATGTGGCAATGGTGGGGTCCACGCCCCCTCCCTTAGAGATCTGATCTCCCTCAGCCCTGTGTTTGGCAGCGTGGAGATGAGGGAAGGGGTTTGACATGAACCACCCCACCCCGGGCTGTTACAAGGAGCCCCCCCCATCTCCCCCATAGCAGTTGACAGGAACCCACTGCTCTCTCTCTCCACAGTGTGATGACACCGGCAGTGAGGCATCTGGACCGCGAAATCGTCAGAACTGCAAACTGCCCTCCATCGCGGGGAAGGACGGTGAGTACCGTGATGTGGAGGGGGGGATGATATAGGTGGGGAGGCAATGGAGGGGGTGGGTGCTGGGGGGGAAGGGCGATGGAAGGGGAGAGTGCTGGGGCAGGGGCGATGGAGGCGGAGGGGGCTGGGGGGAGGGGTGATGGAGGTGCTGGGGGGAGGGGTTATGGAGGGGGAAGGGCTGGGGGTGAGGGCGATGGAGGGGAAGGGGCAGGGGGTGAGGGCACTGTGGGGGAAGGGGCAGGGGGTGAGGGCACTGTGGGGTAGGGCGATGGAGGGGAAGTGGGGAGGTCACTGCTGTTCAGTTAATTTGTTTCATATGTTCTCTAACTTTGCAGTGAACAAGGGGAGAGGGTATCGATCCCAGAAATACCCGGGTCCTCAGCCCCCGAGGAGCTCACAGAGTGGCCGTATCCCCACCATCCCACAACAAGGTAACCCCCTCACGCACACTCACCATCGCTGGGGCTAGACCCGACCCAGCCTGAGCCGCATTGTGCTCGGAGCGGGTGGGGCGCGGGCTGTGAAATTATTATAATAATCCTTGCATGTCATGTCTTTGAGCCGTCTCAATGTGCTTTCACAGTCAATTATAAAGTGAATTAATAATATATTTTTGTGGGTGAAACAACAGTGTTCCTCAGTCGTGGAACAGTCCAAACTATTTTTTTTGGACGGATTATTACCCTGGAAAGTGATCCGCCAATCGATTAACAACTGTGTTCCCACTGACTGCTGGTACCCAGAGGTGTGTGGAGGAAGGACACTTGCCCACGGTTTCTCCCTGAGCTGCTGGGAATCAAACCTGGGTCTCGCTTGCGAGGCGCGTGCGCTAACCACTCTGATCTCTTGTCTCCCTGCAGGAGTCGTGTCAAACGAGCAATGCAGTTCTTCACAGGAGCACTGTGTGGGGAGCCAGGCCCCCCCACTGCTGGCCTGTCCCCCCGACAACCCCCTCCCTGCAGGCACCGAGACCCTGGACATCCACATGGACATCGCTGCGCCTCCACCTGAAGAGCCCATTAAGACTTGAATCTTCCCAATTATTAATATAACTGGAATTGTCTTTAACGAGTCCATCCGTGTGGAAGTGCCTGTAGGTGGGGGGAGGGGTCAGCGGCCAACATAGATACACGTGTGAATGAGGGGGCAGCGGGGGGCAGCGGGGGGGCAGCAGCGGGGGGGGGGCAGCGGGGGGGGGGGGGGGGGCAGGGGGGCAGCAGCGTGGGGGGGCAGCGGGACCGGGGGGCAGCGGGGGGGGGGGGGGCCGGGGGTCCTCTGCACACAAATAAAGGATAACGTCACTGTCTCCACACTTACCTTCAGCTTATGTGACCACCCTCAGCCCCGCCTCCCGCCCACCCTCAGCCCCGCCTCCCGCCCACCCTCAGCCCCGCCTCCCGCCCACCCTCAGCCCCGCTCCCGCCCACCCTCAGCCCCGCCTCCCGCCCACCCTCAGCCCCGCCTCCCGCCCACCCTCAGCCCGCCTCCCGCCCACCCTCAGCGCCGCCTCCCGCCCACCCTCAGCCCCGCCTCCCGCCCACCCTCAGCCCCGCCTCCCGCCCACCCTCAGCCCCGCCTCCCGCCCACCCTCGGCCCCGCCTCCCGCCACCCTCGGCCCCGCCTCCCGCCACCCTCGGCCCCGCCTCCCGCCCACCCTCGGCCCGCCTCCCGCCACCCTCGCCCCGCCTCCCGCCCACCCTCGGCCCGCCTCCCGCCCACCCTCGGCCCCGCCTCCCGCCACCCTCCCCCGCCTCCCGCCCACCCGGCCCCGCCTCCCGCCCACCCTCGGCCCCGCCCCGCCCACCCTCGCCCCGCCGTCCCGCCCACCCTCGGCCCCGCCTCCCGCCCACCCTCGGCCCGCCTCCCGCCCACCCGCGCCCGCCTCCCGCCCACCCTCGGCCCCGCCTCCGCCCACCCGCAGCCCCGCCTCCCGCCCACCCTCAGCCCCGCCTCCCGCCCACCCTCAGCCCCGCCTCCCGCCCACCCTCAGCCCCGCCTCCGCGCCACCCTCAGCCCCGCCTCCCGCCACCCTCAGCCCCGCCTCCCGCCCACCCTCAGCCCCGCCCCACCTTTCGGCCCCGCCCACTTCCCGCCCACCCTCAGCCCCGCCCCCACTCATCGGCACTCACTGTATCAACAATGTGACATTTACAATATTTTATTCCACTGTTTTTCAATGTAAAATAAACGCAAATATCCGGGATTCGTGTGTGTGGTTTATTTGCACATCGCGGACACAGCAGCACCTGCTCCCCCCCCCCAAACACCCCCCAAACACCCCCCCAAACACCCCCCCAAACACCCCCCCAAACACCCCCCCCAAACACCCCCCCAACAAACACCCCCCCCAAACACCCCCCCAACACCCCCCAAACACCCCCCCCAACACCCCCCCCAACACCCCCTACACTTGTATAGCGCCTTTCAGGCATGTTCGAAGAGGAGGGTCTTGAACAATGGGAACAATTCAAAAAAAGTATTTGATACAACACAGAACAAGTACATACCGTAAAATGCAAACGCTCCAATCGTGTAGTTAAGCAACCATGGTGGACAAAACAGGTCAGAGACTGTGTCAAGCTAAAAGAAATAGTTTACTCAAATGCAAGAAAAAGTGGGAATGCAGAGAGAATGGGAGAACTACACAAGGCAACAAAGGGAGACAAAGAAAATAATAAGAGGAGCAAAATGGGAGTATGAAAAAAGCTTGCAAGTGATATTAAAAACAATACTAAAAGCGTTTATAAATATATTAAAAGAAAGAGAATGGTCAAGGGAAATGTGGATCTATTAAAGCCAGATGTGGGTGAGACTATAACAGAAAATAAGGAAATGGCTGACTTGTTATATAAATACTTCACTACCGTTTTTAACAGTAGAGGTTGAGGACAAAATACAAGCTGTACAGGGAAACCTAAAAGTAAGTCAAAGAGAAATGCTTAATAAAATTTAATATTAATAAAAAAATGTTAATGGAGAAAATAATGAGTCTCGAGACAGACAAATCTCCAGGACCTGATAGTTTCTACCCCAGGGTGTAAAAAGGAGAAAGGAGAGGAAATTGCAGATGCACTCATCATGATTTTCCAAAGCCCACTAGATTTGGGAATTGTGCCCTTAGATTGGAAAAAGGGAGGGAGGGAGAAACCAGGACTCTCAGCTTAACGTCAGCTGTAGGGAAAATACTGGAACCATCATCGGAACAGAGTCCGTGTGGAGTCCTGTAGCTCAGTGGTTAGAGCACTCGCTTTGCAAGTGAGAGACCTGAGTTCAATTCCAGGCAGAGGGCCAAACCTTGGGCAAGTTTCCTTACTCCACACAGAGCCTAATAATAATCCCTCCAAAACAAAACAATAATAAATTGGTCATTTTCAATCCACGACTGTTTGTGGGACATTGCTGTGCGCAATTGGCTGCCACGTTCGCCCACAAATATACAGTCAATTCACTTTACAGTGTGTTCTGTGAAGTGCTTTGGGACGTCCTCCCGACGTGAAAAGCGCTATATCAAATGCAAGGATTATTATTATTATTATAGAGTGAATGAACACTTGAGCTGGTATGAGCTAGTCAAAGAGAGTCAGCGAGGGTTTGTGAA